TTCATAAATATTCAATAACAAAATTCAAAATGAAACAGTTTTTGAAATTGAAAATAAAGTATTACTATTTGATATAAAATAATACTCAGTAATTGAAAATAAATTTCAATCTATCTGAAGTAAAGAATGATATTATATTCATGACTATATTAAATATAACTCTTATAAAATTCATAATCAGAAAGAAAAAGTTCACAAGTATTTTATTAATGTAAGACAACTCAAATATTATTATGATTGTCAAGATTACTTTGAATCACAAATTATTATTGAGTAACTCACATAGATTATCTCTTCTTATTTTTGTTATTTCTATATTTGAAATCATTTTCTATCTTATTCTTATCTATTTTTATAATTATCCTTACACCAATATTTTTAATATTTATTATTTATAGTAAATTTTTAGTTTAAATTTTATATAAATACCCTCTTTATTCTCTTTCTTTTTTTTTATTCTTTTATATTTTTTACTTTTATCTATTATCTTTTACTTTTATTATTCTATATCTTTTTAAATTCTTTTATACTTTTAACTTTATTATTTCTTATCATATCTCAATTACCTACTTGGATTATCTCTTCAATGATCAAATTTCTTGAAAAAATATATCAGGAAATATTTGCTCAACAATCATTTAGAATGATTATCTTTTCAACTTATAGATTATTTACTTGTGATAATACAGGACAAGAAACTAATATCACACTCTTGGATTTACTTATATAATCTGAATTTACTAAAAATATTAAAATTGATAATCCTTTTCTCTTGAATACTCAAATAACTGTTAAATTACTTGAAGTACTTATTAATTCAGTTAATATCACTACTGACTTAGACTTTGACTAGTTAAATATCTTTATTATTATTTTGTTAAAAGATAAATTCAAAATAAATATTAAACAAGAAGATATTGAAAAAGAATCAGAATTTACAAATTTTAATAGTTTAACTACTTCTGAAAAATAATCTGAAATATCTACAGTTATAATAGAAGAAGTTAAATTAACTTTGGATAAAGACTGGTCAACTCAACTTAAGGAAGCCATACTTTCAATCTATAATAATTTTTGGATAATAATAGTCAAATAATATTATAATATTATAAACTTGAATATATATTTTTGATTTAATCTCAGAAATACTTAAGAGATATATCAGAAATCAAGAAGAATATTAAAGATACTCTTGGAAAATGCATACATAATAAATTATATAATATCACTCATAAAGTTTTTTTATTTACAATTCTGAAGAAGAAGTATTTGATAATAGATTTGAATTTATACTAATCAAGTTGTATTACCTGAATAAGAAAGAATTATTAAAAATTATTAATTGATTTTTGCAGGAGCAAAAATTTTCTAAAGGAGGATCATATGTTACCTTAATGACATAAAATTCCTTAATTTCTTAATCTTTTCCTAGTTATGCAAAATCACATTTTTTTATAATTTTCATTTATTTTATAAATATCTCTATTTTCATATCATTTATTACTATATTTATTATCATATTTCTATTTTTAAATATTATATTTTATCTTATATTTGGGATTTATATTTTATTATTATTTGTAATATAATATTCATGTACATAGTAAAATAATATAGTGAAAGATCATTTTTAATTTTGGTGAAATAGTTATACTTAAATAATGATCTTAAATATCTTTTCTCATTCTTTAATATCTTTGATATTCTTTCATATCTTTTCATATCTTTCAATATATTCTATATCTTTTAATATATTTTCATATCTTTTAATATTCTTTCATGTACTTTAATATTCTTTGATATTCTTTGATATATTTTAATATATTTTGACATAATCCATTCATAATTATTTATATTATAGTACTTTAATTATATTTTATATATTAGATAGTATTAGTTAGTAATATTATAATGATTTATATATTTGAAAAATATATAAAAAGATCTGCTATCCCAGCTTAAAATAAATAGTTTTGAATTGAATTATTTAGAAAATATAATTTAAAAGCTTATTATTATAATAATAGTAATCTTTTTAAAAAAGATTTCTTTTTAAATTATACTAGTATCTTTTTTTTCACTTAGTTTTATTCCTTTGACCATATAAAGTTGATTTTGGATTTTTGAATTATAATGTTATATTGATTTTTGATTTCTTTGATATTATTTTGAGAGTAAAAGATCTCTACTATAAATAAGTTATACTTTTTATTTTATTGTTTTTGAGAATAGAAGACTTCTACTATAAATAAGCCATATTTTTTATTTGTTTTTAGTTATTTAGTTTTTATACTTTAGTTATTATCTTTTATTAGTTATAGTCTTCTTTGATTAATAACTTGCTATTTAATCAATTTGAATCTTGAATTATATCAATTACTAGTGACTTTACTCAGTCAATCTTTATAATTTCTCTGATTTATTTTTTTCTTTATTTATTTAATTACTCTTTTTGAGATAATATCCATAGATATTAGTATAGGTCTTAGAAATCTTTATTATTATTAAAAGTTATAGTCTAATTCTTCTCTCTTTATTCTTTAATTATTTCAGTCTTTCCCAATTCTATATCATTAAGATGAATTCAAGTAAAATCCTACTTATCAATTTATCATAATAGTATAATTAATTTATGAATTTTACTAATTTAATAAAAATAAAAATATTCTTTCACTATTAATATTTATTTTTTATTTTTTCTTATTATAACTAGGTGAGTTTACTTTATTATTGAATTAAAAAATATCATTTTTTTGAAGAATTAATATTTTTCTATTTTTATTTTGTCTTTCATATAATGATTATTATTATTATATTATTTAATAATTATAAGAATAATAATTTTATAAATAATAATAATATTAGATTTCTTTTTATTCTTAAAATTCAAAATTTTAAGAGTTTAAAAGAGTAAAAAAAAGTTAAAATATTATATTATTATTTGTGCAAAGCTCTTATTATTTGAAAAAATAATAATAGAGATAAAACTAGTACTAATATTTTAAAAATACAAATAGATCTTTACAAAAATTACAAATTACTATATGATGATAATTTTATAAAAATAGAAGATACTGTTTCTAATTGATAAAATATATATGACTTATCATAAGATAAAGTATATATCAAGATACTTGCTTTAAAATTATATATAATTATTTCTTACAATACAATAGTTGAAAGAATTTTTTCTATTTTAAATTAATATATGGAAAAATGAATATCAAGTAATAATTATATAATTTTTAATTATATATTAAAATAATATTTTATTTTTATTAGATTAAATATTGAGTAACTTGAATCTATAACTCAAATTCATTCTTATCTTATTACTAATGCTAAAGTTAAATTGAATTTTATTAATAATAGTTTATTTACTCAAGAACTTACTCATATATTTCATCAAATTTTGCTATGAAAAATAATGATAATATATTTAATCAAGATTTGGATTTTATTTTTGATAATGATAATGATTTAAATTTAGAAAATCAAAATTCTTCAACTCTTGATATTGGCAGATTAATTGATCTTACAAGAAATTTAAATGTAAATAGTGAAACTCAGTCAGTAGTAATTATTGATCATGATGATAAAGATTTTAATATTGATAAACTTATTGATTAATTTAGTATTTTTTCATATTAAATAAATTTTGATTTCATTATTACATTTGTTTATCCATTCAATTTTTTCATTATATTTGTTTAGTTTGAGTTTATTTATTATATTTGTTCAATTTGTCTAATTTATCCATTTATCCATTCATTTGTCCATTTGTCCATTGTCTATTTGTCTAATTTGTCCAATTTGTCTATTTGTCCATTTGTCCAATTTGTCCACTTTGTCCATTATATTTGTCTAATATGGACTTTGGATTTTTTCCATTTTGGATTTGTGTTTGTGTGGCCACTTGACTAAAATGAATTTAGCCAGCAAGTATAGTTTGGACGCATCTGGTGAATCACTTTTTATGGCAAGAATTTGCGAACCGAAGAATAATCTAGCAAAAATAGGCAAAATGAACGCCAATTTCGAAGACGTTTCACTTTACAGGGGGATATTAGTTTTTCGTGATCTTTGCACCGCTCTGTTCATAGAAACCTCAACAATAATTTTGTTTTAGGGAACTTTGTGCATTTTGGCTAAGAATTTGGACAAAAAGTTCACATGTATGATTAATCGATTTTTTAAATCGATCGACATAATATGCTTAATTTTACGTGTGACAAATCGTGTGACAAATCATGTGACAAATCGTGTGACTGATAACGATAAATAACTATAAACATGCTCATTATATCCGATTTTAGCAATCATACTCACCTCAATTGAGATGAGTCAATGTCTTTAATCATTTGATTCGGAAAAGAGCAACATCCTTTTTTTCTTTATTGTGGCGTATCTTCATAATGTTACCTTTTTGTAGCTCTGGTCACCAAGCTTATTAAATTCTACTACTTGTATTATAAACTAATTTGTAAGTTTGTCGGACAAAAACACGAAGAATTAATTCTGAGTTTTAGTCTACTTTTCTTGGACTAATCGGAAAGGCGATAATAGAGAAAATGTGTTTTGACATGCATACAAAAATATTAAATCAATCTTTAATGACAAAATCATCCGACTTCAAAATTCGATCAAATCATGGTTAACTTCAGCCAACTTTTTCTTTAATAACTTACATTATAGAAATCATCTAAAGAAATGAATAACTCTATTTAAATAATAAAACTGATTTTTGTAAAATGCATATTATCGCGATCTTTTTAATGTAAACAAATGGTTTAGTATTGTGACTTGTGACCCATTTAAATATGCATGTTTGAAACAGGAGAGGACGACGATCACATAAATCATTTAATATTTAAATACCGATCTCAAAAACACATGTACAAAACCCAAAATAATAAAAATGAAATCGACAATTATTATTTTTATATTATTATCGATGATGATGATAATATTGAATGCTGACGCCAATAATATCTTTCAAAATGTGTACGATTCACTTGTGGATATTTTTTTGTAACTACAGTAACAATGATGGTCTCATAATTATTTATCGTTCTTTATATAGGAATGACAAAAGAGCAGGTAGTTTACAGACGACAAATCTTCAGTCTGCAGCATCACCAACTAGCATACAATCAAGTTATGTAGTGCAAACAACAATGCCATCTATAAGCCCGTCGACTCAACCTTCAACTAGCAATACTAATGAAAGTTCCGATCAGTCGACAGGAACTATTCACACTTCACTGAAATCTGGAACTACAGGGACAAGGTAAATTATGCTTTATACAGAAAAGTGTTTGATAATTTTTCAAATTAACCGAGTAATTTACCTATTGCTTAGTAAAAGCATCTCCTCAACGACATCCACATCATCCACAGCATCTACATCATCTACAACATCAATATCATCAACGCCGGATCCTGTTACAATAACACAAGCAACGGCCGAAACAGTCACTCTACCACAATCAACAACAAGTTTTCCTACACCTGGTATTCCATCTACTCCAAATAAAGCTGGCTCTGAATTAAAGGAACCTTGGAAATTATTTTGGAGTGCAATGTGCTTTTTGGCACTTTTTGGGCTTTTTGGTAGTTAGACTGTAGACATTTCGTTATTAAATGTAGCTATAGAAAGAAAAAATTTGGTTAATTTTATTAAAAGCGAATTCCGAGTCTGATGAGAAACATTACCGTGAGCTAAAATAAAATATTGACATTTTCTTATTATCTTTTTGAAATCTTACCGTAATATATCTAATATACAGTGCTCGTCATAAATAATGAGAATCGTTTTTCGAATATAAATTTCGCAAAATTTATTTATTCGGGTTGCGGTTTTACAATGACATCAGTATAGTGTCTATATAGTGTCTATAAAAAAAAATTATATACACTAATGATCGATTTTTTTCCCATTATTTTCAATAACGTCGTTTAACCGCCCTGACATGCCGTTTGCCAAATTAAGACATAGGTCCACGGAAATACCCTCCCATTCTTCTCGAATTATCTCATGCCAGTCCGTAATGCTGATTTTTTTTTCCTGATTATTTTGTTCACTCGTTTCTCCACCCTTTTCTTGATAATAGCCCATAAATTCTCTACTGGGTTTAAATCCGGGCTATAGGAGTAGGGTTGGATTAGTCCTGATAAGACCGATTCATAACTCGATCTTTGGACCGGTCCTTGTGGTCTTCGGTCTTTGATTTTGGAACCGGTCCGGATCGAACCGATTATGTTAATTTTTTTGATAATCGAGTAGTTAGCTTCAATTGTGATCAAAAATCACGATTTTAAACTTAGCCACAATGTACCCTAGAATATCAAATTAGGAAATTTGATATTCCGGTGTTACATTATGGCTAATAACTACTCATATCATGGTTTTGTATGCAAAATGACTAATTGGAAAGACAATCCTTTATCGTTATTCGCAAGTATGACCATTTTTACAATGATTTATTATTATTATGTTAAGTACATGTACCAGTAGTCTTTGCTGTTACGGTTGATATAACCAACCACCTAATAGAATTTTTTATTTCTCTAACTCGTCTAATTCGCAGTCAGTAATAATTTTGTATTAATTTTTTGCTTACTAATCATGGATACCTGGCAATTATCTTTTAGTATATCGATATTCGCACCCCTCCCACAAATCATAAATACCCTGCCAATTTTATTTTGGTATACTCATTTTTTTATCTTTATTTTACAATGACCAACTTGCAAGATTACGAATATATCGACACTAACTTGCACTATAACCAAGATGATACCAACGTGGACTACGACCAAAATGATACCAACTTGGACTATGACCAAGATGATATTAACTTGGATCTTCCGGATAATGAAGATACTATCTTGAAATTCTCAGGTAATAAAGTTCAGGATGATGCTTGCAAAGTAACGATGACCAGAATGATATTAATTATAGCCTTCTAGATAATGATGACAATCAGCTTACACCTGGAGACTCAGTTTCAAATGTTCAAAATTCCCAAGAAGATGCGTCAAGTATATCCATCACGTCAGTTTCTATTAGGTCGCGTTCTATTATGTCGCGTTTACGAAAAAGAGGTCCTAGTTCAACCGTATGGCAATATTTTGATACTAATATATCAAATTATCCTGGTCAACCCATTTGCAAACAGTGTAAAGCTGTCTTCGCGTCTAAAACAGCAATCTCGACTTTGCGACGTCATTTAAACTCGCATAGCATTACTGTACTGAAGTGTCAAAGAACTCTGCATAATTATCATAATAATCCCTATATAAAACGTGAGCAACAAGAACGAGATAAATGTGTCATGAATTGGATAATATGTGATACACAACCATTTAGTGTTGTAGATAATGACGAATGGCGAAAGATGATTTCAAAATTTGATCCAAGATATCATTTTCATAACCGACATACTATTAAAGATCAAATTATGACTTTGTATGAAGAAAAAAAAGCACAAGTAAAGCTGGTCATAAATACTATACCCGGAAAAGTAGCGTTTATAGCTGACATGTGGACAGCAATGAATGAAACAGCTTTTCTTAGTCTCACCATCCATTACATTAACACTTTTTGGGAATTAAAAAACTTCCTTCTTGATATTATTCTAATATCTGTACGTCATACTGGATTAAATATGGCAGATGCTATAATGGCAGTTCTTCACGAGTTTAACTTGATGGAAAAAACTTTAGCACTAACAACCAACAATGCATCATCAATGATTTCCTGTGGTACTTCCATAGCAGAGGAACTTGAGCAAGAATTTAATAATTTGAATTTTGCTCATTATCGATGTGCCGCCCATATTCTCAATCTCGCAGTTACCCAAGGAATCAAGTTAATAGATGAGTCCGTGGAGAAAGTAAGATCTTTAATGGCTTATATCAAATCATCACATCCTGCGAACGAAGCTCTGAAGGTATTATGTAAAGTGAAAACAATTGTTTATTTGGCACCTGAACTAGATGTAAAGACTAGATGGAATTCTACTTATTATATGTTAGAAAAATGGACAAAAATGAAAGCAGCTTTGAATTTACTTACAGCGGATGATCGAACAGTGCGGCAACGGTATCCTAATGAGGATGATCATGAAAAAATCAAAGATACAATATTACTTTTAGAACCATTCGAACATGCTACTCGGTTCCTTTCTGTATCTAATTATCCAACACATGGTGATGTTCATCTTGTTTTTCTTGGCCTTCAAGAACACTTGGTTGAGTATATGAATGACGATTTCTTGCAAAATATGATAGCAAACGCAATCTACCAAAAACTCAATAATTATTAGCCAATCATGGATAAAGCATCACAAATTTCATCATTATTAGATCCAAGAATAAAATTATCCACATTTAATAACCAAATAGAAAAAAATAGAGCAAAAAATCTAGTTTTGAACATAACTGAATATTCTTCAACATTGTCACCAAATACCGATATAACAGAAGATGAGCTTATAAATACTCGAAATTACTTTCGGCGGTTGCAAGGTAATGATATTTTCAGGTTCGCATCATCATCAAGTTCAACAAATAATATAAAAAATGAGCTGGAAAAATACTTGGCAATGCCTTTGGAAGATCAGGTCGATC